ACTTCATTATTTTATAACTCCAAGGATAAACGACAGAGCTCCGCCCACGTAGAACCTTAAAGTTTCTTCTTCTCTTCCTGCAGCGTTTTAAACCAATAGAGAGAAAATGTTTATGACAGAGACATGAAGAATGATTGACCTTGTGTTTGTCTGCTATTCCTCCACCAGGGGTCGCTCTTACGAGTGGCACAGCAAAGTGAGCGGACACCTCCTGGCCGCAGAGCTCCTCGCCATCAGGGACTCGTTCCGAGGACACTTCAGGGAAACAAAGATATGAGGACGCGGGATGATTCAAGGATTTTTGCACTAATCTGGGTTTACAGCGCCCTCTATAGGTATTCAGGTTAAACTGCAGCGAAGGTGACCTCGAGTTGGCACGACGTCGAGCTTCGACTACGAGCGATGGATTCAGGCCCGACGTCACGATGTGGAAAAAGAACTGTTCTGCAGAGAGAGGAAGAAAAACATCAGGACACTGACGGAGGCATCAAACCTACGAGCAGGAACAAAGACTTTTCACCTGCAGCTGTGGACGTTCACAGACACGTGGACGTTCACAGACACGTGGACGTTCACAGACGTGAACCACGAACCAGAGTGAAGCCGCAGACGACTGGTTTCAACTGTGTTCGTCCTTTTTCGTCCCTTTGACTTCGACCGACAACAGTTCGTCAATCTACCTCCTCGGGACTGCGTGACTTTCCCCGACTGCTTCAAACATTCATATTTATTCTTTTATTCCACGCGTCTCTGTATTTGAACATTTGTCTTATTTCCCGCAGCACTTAAGTTTTAATTCACGTTTAAACTCTTGTCTGAAACATTTTAAACAAGAACGAAAATGTTCCTGTGTCAGTTTAATCAGATTATTTAACTTAATGTAAATCTAAACACAGATTTCTTATATCCTGACATGTTTATTTAATTTTCAGCTTTCTGAAAATCTTATAATGTTTGAGTGTGAAATCCTTATTAAAATGTTTTTCTCTCTCAACCTGTTTCTTCCTCCTCTCTCTCTCTCTCTCTCTCTCCTCCGTTACCAAACAGAATACCCCCTGTAATGTCGGAGGAAGGCGGTGGGGGGGGGGGAGGTACGGTGGCACTGAAGCACCAGAGATGAACACGTCTGACGATGCGATGGAGTCGACTCCTCTTTAACTAATGTGCATGAAGCTTATTTCCATATCTCATGGATTCATCTCCGAGATCAGATCTTTAAAACGCTGATAAAACACGAGCGACGCGACGCGAGGCAAAACAACTTCTGGTGGCGAGGACGTCGTGGTCGGATTTTAAGGAAGAGGAATAATTTATGCAAATTAGAAATAACAGGAGCAGCAAAGTGCCGGGAGGCGGCTTTAATTTCTGTATCGTCTGTTCCCTCCATCCGGAGCTTAAACTCCGTGATAATTGGGTTGAACTCGGGGTCAAAGGTTAAACTCAGTTTGTGTGAAGTTTGCAGATCACGGGTTCGATCACGTGAAAGTCTGAGCAGCTGATTTCACAGACGAACTAACGCTGAAGCTCTGGAGCTTTTTTCACGTCATGTAAACATCAGACGACATCCAGCAGCTGAAATCAACCGCTCCTCCTCCACCGACCGTCACGTCGCTGCGTTTCTTCATCAACAGCAGAGGTGACGTCGACGCTGTGAGTCACTCTGCTGCCCCCTACTGGCTCGCGCTCCAGCGCCAACTCTTCAGTTCCAACTTTTTTCTTGGGCTTGAACTCAGATGTTCTGAGAACAAATTCACACGAGACTCACGTTGTTCACGTTAAATAAAAGGGTGAAGAACTTTCACGTATCTGAACAATATGATCATTTTCTTTGAGTTTCTCAGTTCAGAGCGACTCGGCTCACATAGAAAAATGTGGATTAGTGCAGCGTTAAGAACTCACAGCTGAGTGGTGTTACCCACCTGAGTCTGCACCTCCCCGCTGAACCACCAGGAGGCCCCCAAACTCCACCCCTTCAGTCTCTGCAGGCAGCTTCTTGAAACCACAGGTAAAATCCACCGAGACACGACGGAGTAAATATCAGCAGGGACCATCAGGGGAGGAGATCTGTGGCTCCCGCTGAGGTCAGGGACGTTATTTCTTCCTCAGGTGTTACCGTGGCGACTCTTCCTCCTCCTGGAGCGACTGTCAAAACACCTTTAACACCGTTCTTCAGCGGCAGCAGAGTAAAAACAGACACGATGAATGTTTCATGAAGCTGCTGTGGGATTTATTCCCTCAAAGAAGGTTGGGACACCAACATAAAGTGCCGAGACGCATGAGACGATGAGAGACGACCAGAGCAGAGTAGATATCCGTGTTTCAATGTTCAGAAATGGGTCACGCACACGTTTCCTGAATACAACGATCCGCTGGGCACGAAACAGTTGTGGTGATTCCTGAAGCTTTCATATCTATGGAAGCGCACGAGTGTCGGATGGGAGGAGACGATGTGACGATTACAGGCTGCTGCCTCGGAGAGCGTGTGATGTATAATTAACTTCATCGTATGGACGCTTGTTCCAGCTGCACTTTGAGTTCCTCGAACAAAGAACGGTGACTCTCACCAGAGAACCGCAGTTATCGAGAGCGACGTTCTGAAAGTGAAGAGTGTGGGAGGAAGTTTGAGGTGAAGGGAAAAAACAATTAGAGTTAAAACTCAGAACAATCCTCAAACTCTACACGTGATTAAAACTTCGAGCAAACTTCTTTCAATGTTAGAAACGGCAAAAATAAAGAGAAAACATTGATTTAAACTCTACTTTGATTTTTTTTTTAGTTTGCTCCGTGTCCCGTTTGCTAACACAGAGGAGGAGATGTCTTGGCTGTTGGGAGCCGTCTCGTCGTCCGTCTTGATTTAGGTTGTGGACGGCGAAGGGAAGAATCACAGACCTAAAGGTTCGATGGAGAGGATCCATGAAACTCTGAATAAATCACAGGGATGTGAAAATGTTCGGATAATTAAACTGACCAACTTTTACCAAAAGTTTTCCTGATGTGAAATTCAACGAGCTGATCTCCGTCAGACCTTCGGTGGGAAACTTTTTGACTGTATAGTTTATAAACAACATTACAGATTTATCTCTTCCAGACAGATTGACGGCATCTTGACCCCTCTGTCCTCTGGAAGAGTTCGAACATCAGGTCGAACGGATTTTAATTTCCCAGCATTAAAAACAAAGTTCTCACACGAAGAGAAGAAACTAAATGAAGTGTTTGAAGGTCACTCACACTGAAACGCTGCTCATTCACATCTCACAGGATCGACACGGAGTTCCAGGCACAGATTCTTTAAACTGAGATTAAGAAACGAGGCGATCGGACTGTTGTGATGTTTGGTTTCATCTCGGCTCTTTAATAAAAAAGATCTTTAACAGGAGATTTAATTCGAGGTTGTGGGATAGAAACAATTGATTCTGTGGAAAATAAAGTTCGGTCACTTCAGTCCAGTTTTTTTAATCTTTGCACCGTTTCTGGTGAACGTGGAAGCAGAAGGACAAAGATGGAGGCGGGTGGAGCGAGCGGGTCATTCTGACATCACATCCTGTGGACGGGGTTGATGCCCAGGATTTCGAAGCCTTTAGCCATGACGGCGGCCGTAGCTTCACAGAGCAGCATCCTCCACATGTTCACCTTGATCACCTCACCTGGAGACACAGAGGAGACCGTCGGATTGAATTCATTTCATTTATCAGCAGCAGCAGAGTTAATGAAGAAAGACGAGAAGAGACAAAGGGGACGAAGGAAAAGAAGACGGAAACAGAGTGAAAGAAAGAGACAGAAGAGAATCAGTCGGAGGTGAAGAACAGAACGATATCAACAGACAACCAGAGGTCGGGGGGGCACATTCAAACAATGCTCCCGTCATTTAACACGAACAAAAACCAACGACCTGGAAATCTGCAGCTTCTCGATACGAAAACATCCGGAAATTAAAGCATGTGGCCAAAGGTTTGTGGACGCCCCCGGCGGACCAGAGGACACGGATCAAACTAAGAAAAACGGAGGATTCTGTTTTTTTGCGACTTGTTGCTGATGATGTACTTTCTCAACATGATCACATTCACAGTTCCGTTTAATTTATTCCCCGACTTTGAATCTGTGTCTGTTGGTTCTAACTCCTCTCATCAATCTGAACTGTTCCAAAATGACGAATAATAACCTCCAGCTGCGGCTGCTGCCGCATCGCTAACTGTGCATTAGCATAATTAAACATCTCTGAGCCTGAAGAGAAGCACTCCAGAGCACCGCGGGGATAAAACCCCTCAGTAACGAGTGGAGGGCTTTTAGTGAAAACCCTCTCGTAGACAGACTTCCTGTTAAGTGGCTGAGTCTCGCCGCTCGTTCTCGTCTCACCTTTGACCTTCAAACAAACCGAAGTTCTGTTTTTATGTGGAAACAAAAACGTTATTTTGAACGACCTCTTTCAGAATATGAGACGATAGCTGAAGATTCACCAGAGAATTCTGGTCAGGAAGCAGAGGATCGTGGGTAATATCCAGCATATATGAGTGGGACGGCACAGTCAGAGCTCAACACAGAACTACCACTGAACCGATCTCCGTTAAATTTTCAAGGATTCAGGAAAACGGGCGAATCTCTCACTTTCTGTAAAATGCTGAGAGGTCGTTAGTCTTGTTGGAGGAAAGAACTCCGACACTACTAGTGTTGTCTCCTTTAGAATCACGGGGAGGGGGAGGGTCAGTCTGAGGTTTCAGCTCCGCCTCAGCCAGGAGACAAATAAACAGGTGAAAGGGGAGGAGCTCTGCAGACAGAATGTCCCCGGGGGCCGTGTACGACCCCTGACCCCTCAGTGGAGACAATATGAGCCATCATACCTGTCTGTCTGTCCTTCTCCACGCAGTAGCAGCTGTCGTAGAACTCGGTGAAGGTGGTGGCGAGCTCGTACAGGAAGTCGCAGAGCGTGTGCAGCAGCAGGTCGTCCAGGACCTTCTGGAGGATCTCGGGGAAGCGCAGGATGCACTTTCCCAGCTTCCACTCCTTCTCGTGGTCCAGCAGCACCTCGGTGGTCTCGGCCGCCTCCCTCAGCATGACCTCGTCGATGTTGGCGAGTCGAGCGATGGATCTGTCGGGGGAGAAACAAACAGTTGGAGTCTTTTAAACAGCATCAGTGTCGGAGCTGAACGATGTGGATCAAGGTGCAGACACCTGTTTCTGTATTCTGTCATGAAAACCCCGTGTGGGGCCGGAGGCTGCCAGTGATCTCTTCTGTTAAAACAAGTGCAGGAACATCTGCTCAACCTCCTCTGCTGAAAATCAAGGCCATCGATCTCTGCCGGGCACTTTGCCGCCCGACTCTAACTCCTCCAGGGAGGCAGGAGAGGAGGAGGAGGAGGAGGAGGACGAAGCCGGGAGACGCTCCCTCGATGTGAGAGGATAAGAGATTGGCTCTCGCCGACTGACGGGGCCCCAAACACTAATTAATCCCCTGCAACCATCTCCCAGCGAGGATGAACTGATGCTGGAGATGAAGTGTGGAGGAGGAGACGGAGAATTGTGTCTGAGGAACTTTCAGGATTGTGTTCGATTGTAAATAAACTCGTCCCTCCATGTTTCACACACACACACAAAATAGATCTGTGTTGTGAAACAGTTCGATTGCAATGCTAACTTTATTATGCTAGGCTTTATTGTGTTAGCATTGTATTGTAGCATCACTTCTGTTACTATTCAGCACGGGTAGCACGCTAAACGCTTTATCGCGTAGATATAGATTTCACAGATCCGGTCGAACATGGCGGTGCGCTCACCTGATGCGTGTGAGGGCGTAGAGCAGATACGCCGCCGTGTTGCCTCGGTCGTCCAGCATCTTGTCGAAGGAGAAGACGTAGTCGTTGATGCGGTTGTGGGAGAGGTCGGCGTATTTAATGCATCCGAAAGCAACGGACCTCTGGGCTTTGATCAGCTCCTCTGGAGTCAGGACCTGCACAAACAGACCGGGTTCGTTTAATAAAGGTTTTAAATGAAGGAACAAAGTTCACAATCTTTCTTATCAACATGAAACCTCTTTAAAAACTAATCTGATGACTGCAGCTTTAATTAGCGACAGCAGTGAGTTTAATACAAATAATCAAAGTGATTTTCTGACCTCAGCCAAAGATTAAATTGACTCATTAAGACACAGATTTGAGTTGAAGTCGTATTCGTGGCGTATTTGATCCCACAGGAAGTGAACAGAGGAAGATGAGGATGATGAAGAAGATTCAATGACGTGATTTGATCAGAAAGTGAAGTGAAGCAGAGAGAGGAGACGATGAGACACGACAGGAAATGAAAGATGAGATTCTTTGTGTTCACAGTGACACTAAAGTTTGACGTCTCTTGAACTTGTTGGGACGAATCACAGAAGTTCTAGCTGTAGAATATTATTATGATTTTTATTTTTCTGAAACATCAAATGCAGAAACACAGCGATGCTGAACTATTAAAATGGAAATATCAGTGTAAGGGCGGATGAGTTTGTGAGAGAGGTCACAGAGGTCAGGGGGCAGCGACACAACAGGACGCTGAAACACATGAATTTTGAAAAGTGAGAAAAATAAAAGTCCGACAGACTAAAGAGAAGAAACAGAGAAGAGATCTGAAAACAACAGAATAGTAGAAAACAAATGTTCACAGCAGCAGAGTCAGTGGAGCAGACTGAGGTTCACGGAGGTTTGTTTTAATGAGGCAGGGTTAGCAGATGGTAGACGTGGGCACCGACCCAGACAGAGAGCAAAGTGCCAGAGGGTCCGCAGGGAAACTGTGTTGGCACCGGTTCCTCACAACCTTCTTAGCATTAAAATCATCGCAGTTCAACTGGAAGTCAGTGACTGTTCGTGCTCCACACAGAACTTAACCAGGTCAGAGTTCCATCTGCAAGTTCCAGATACACGGCGCTTGAAACACGCGGAGTCGACCGAGTCAGAGATCGGACGCGTGAAGAGAAAACAGAAGCTTTCGTCCTTTGATGGAGGAGAAGAGCTGAACACACATTTTCCAGGTTGAATCTGGAGAATAAAAAATATATAACTTCCTGCTCCTGAAACCAACTTGAACATTCTTCAGTCATTTCTGCCTCTGGACACAACGACTGTCGTTCAGACTGAAACATCCCGACACTTCGCCTCAGACGACGATGACGATGATGATGATCTGCTGACTTTACTCTCGTGTCGCCAGTAAAATATAACAGGTCGTTTTTTAAACATGAGCAAACAGAAGCATGGGATTCATTTCACAACCTGACTGCGGAATAAATAAATAGATAAATAATTCATACGGGAAAATTCTTATTGTCGATTGAACAGTTAATTATCAAAATACCAATTATTCTATCATCGACTCAGATGAAAACCATTTTCCAGGAATCCTCTCGTCGGTCTTTACTCACAGCTGGACAGATGTTCCTCAGCCAGGCAGAGGTAATTGTTCAAAAGAGATGAGCCAACAGACGACATGTCTGAGGACCCTGTAGCACTCTCAGCGTCTGAATCTAACGAAAGGCCAAAAGGCCAAAAAGTACATAGTTAGAAAAAGCTGTAAAAGTGTCCGTACGTTTTTTTTCATCTCTTGTTCAGTCAGTGCCGACACACAAGATCACAAAGGTCACAAAGGTCACAAAGGTCAACAACACGGTTCATCTCCAACCGGCTTCCTCCTCATCAGTAGTAACCATAGCAACCAAGGTAACCACTGTGTTGGCAACATCAGGGACGGACAGAACCGGATCCGTCCCGGTGAGGCAGAAGACGAGAGACGCTGGGACTCGAGTAAGAAGACGTGTGAGGTATCTCGCATGGACGTGATGCAAACTCAGGCCGCCAGGCCGCTAGCTCGCTCTTCAGCTTCATCACTGGCAAGCAATGAATCCTGGGATAGGTCGTCCCGAGAAGGAAACATCTGTTCAGCGTCTTTCTTGTCAAACGATGACACGTTGTTCGGCCACAATCTGGACGAAGATTTCCATGACAACGTTAAAGCTCTGAGACATTTGGTTCATAACGTTTATTTGGCCTCATCCCCCGACTGAGCAGACTCCGGTAGCGTCAGTGTTTAGATGAGTTGTCGTCGTTTGCGTCGTACAAAGGGAACAAATCTCCGTCAGATTAAATGGAGAAAGTTGACCAGTGACTTTTAAAAAGTGTCTCTCGCTACAAATAGTTCTTCTCTTGGAATCAAACGGACAAGTTTTCCAGAGACAAAACAAAAAGCGTCGGCTGCAGACTTGTGGAGGTTTGTGAGAAAAATGTTGCACATGATGAAAAGACGGAGGAGAGGAGGAAGAATAACGACGCGGTGTCCTCAGAGTTCAGCAGATGAACAGAACAAATGTCCGACAGCGTTCGTCTCTTTCTCCGCTCATACGGGATGAGGAGAATTAATGGCGTCTGCAGAGGGAGACGTCGTTACTGTAAAACAATTCTCGTCAGAGCAAATCGAAGGTAAAGCGGAAATAATGAGCTGCTCTCTGAACTAAACGGCCGCTTATCAAACATTAAACATTTCTCACGAAATATTGATGTGAGATGAACTTGAGCTGAAATAATGTGAAGTCTCCTGCCAGGAAACGTTTCCAGTCGAGTCACTGAGGAGCCTGAACGTGTCTGTGATTATTCTGAGGACAAATGAAGCAGATTTCCCGAAATTTCTTCTGCATTAACAAATAAAAACTCTTTAAAACCTTCACAGCAGCAGAAACTCCAGAGGAGCCGCTGCAGCCGAGTTCGTCCTCGACGTTTCTTTGTTGTTTCACACAAGTTAATTTCTTCCAATTTAAATCTCTTCAGGCTGACGTGCAGCTCCAGAGAGCGAACTGGAACACTTTTTTTTTTTTATTGTCTTCTCTTTTCGTTCCTCTTGTTCATCTTGTCTCGTGTCGCAGGATGAAAAGTCAGATTCATCCTCTGGGGAACATGAACGTCCGAACAGAACTTTAAGATAATTTGTCGCAGGATTTTTTTTTTCCTTCGCAAAAGCTTGTTTACTCTTTTTTCTTTTCTAAAGTCTTTACACTTTTCATTTTTCAAAGTTTGTCTGGGGACTCGAGGTAAAAACTTTTCTAGAAAAGTAAAAACCTCACGTCTGTGGTTTGTCCCTGAAAGACGACAGTCCACAACAAACATCATCTGGTTCATCACAGAGATTCAGGACGTGACAGCAGCGGTGAACAAAGAGATGGCCTCTCGTCCTCCGTCACAGACTCTCTCACCTTGTCTCTCTCCTTGTCCTTCAGTTTGTCCATGGACCTCTTCAGTCCCTCGTCCAGCAGGTCCATCAGCCTCACCGTGTCTCCTGACCGTGTCTTAAACTTCTTCCTGTCCACGGGAAAATGAGAAAAATCAGGTCGGCAGAAACAACTGGTTCGCCCCAAAACAACGTGAACAGGAAGCCACCCTGATCAAAGAGGACACTTGGGACAGACACTAAAGTTTGTCCATCTAAAACATGAAGACGTTAAGAATTAAATCCCTGACACGTACGTACAAGCTGAGAAACTCAAGACGTGATTGTGAGACTCTGAGGTGACACGTTTTGTGCTCGGAGGCGTTTGGCCTGAGAGACGACGTTGACGTCTCCACGTCCCTGAACGCAACGACTGTCTGTCCACATCAATTAACATGAAGACAAAATATTAGATTATTTCTGCTCGTCGACGCCTCGGGGTGAAACGTTTTGTACAAGTACATGAGACACAGATTTAATAAGCCCCCCCCCCTTCCATGTTTACTCGCAGCTCGAAGCGCCCCCCCCCCCGTGGCTGCGTTAAGCTCTTATTGTCTGGTTGAGTGATTATGAAAACAGCATGATAAATTTCTAATGGAGTTTAGAGGAGAGCAAACGTTGTGGGGCCAATTTA